CTTGTAGTGAGGGTCCCAAAACTGAACACAGTATTCGAGGTGCGGCCGCACCAGTGCCGAGTACAGGGGCACGATCACTGCCCTGCTCCTGCTGGCCACACTATTTCTGATACAGGCCAGGATGCCCTTGGCCTTCTCGGCCACCTGGGCACGCTGCCGGCTCACATCAAACGTGTATCAAACGGAGAGGTTTTCACTTCCTCGCGAGCTAGGTGCTGCAATTAAGTCAGCTGAAAGAGCGACGCCTTTTCGCTACGCGTCTTTGCAGGTGGGATTTCAGAAGATCCTGACTCTAACCTACGTCGACAAGCTGATAGACGACGTTCACAAGGAGTTCAGGGACAAGTATCGCAACGAGTTCCAGCAGAAAGGCGCCCTGGGCCTCCTAAACGGCACCTTTGATTTTAAAGATGACTTCATGCGCCTCCTCCGGTAGCAGAGCCTGATGTTTTTTATTTCCCCCCCCTCAAGTTTGCATTTAGAGCGGGGGTGGGCAGAGCTGAAATTCAGGCTAACGGGCCACCTCCCCGCAGGGATGCAGAGGAGAGCAGTAAAGTCCGAGCTCCCACGGTAATGAAGACGTTTGAGCAGTCTCTCAAGTCCCAGAAGACTGTCAAGTGTATGATAGAAACCCGAGGGGAGAAACCAAAGGAGAAAGTCAAGAACAAGAAGAACAAAGGTTCCAAAAAAGAGGGTGAGTTGACGGGAAAGATGTATTGGGGGGAGGGGGAATAAATATTCCAGAGCTCTGCGTCCCAGCCTGCGCTTTCCCAGTCCTCCCGTAGCTCCCCACCGCTGGTCTGAGCTCGTGTCGGGGCTCTTTCCGGCAGGAACCGAAGCCGTCGCGGCGCCCGGGAAGGCGTCCGCGGGCGACAAGCAGCCCTCTGCAGCCGGGGACAGGGAGGAACTGACCAAGGATGAAATCCTGCAGAAGAACCGGGAGGAATTCTTCAAGAGGCACATGAAAGCGGGGGAGAAGGCCAGGTGGGTAACGAGGACACGGGTCGGTCTACCCGTGCTCCGAACCGGCTCTTCCTGGCGTCCCTTGGCTGCGGCTGAGCCTCTCCTTCCTTCGGTGACCCCCTGGAAGTCAGTCCTTGCTTTCTTGGACCTCGTTTCCCTCTTCCTTATTTCCCCGCTTGCTGGAAAGACTGGGAAAGGGCACGCCGGGGTCCCGGAGGGGGTAAGGGAGCCCGATCCCTTCCCTGGGAGACCCCGCAACACAGCATCTGCCTGGGAGAGGCCCAGAGCTCTCTGTGGTGAGGCTTTCCCGCTGCGAGCAAAGGGCAACGGCCCATCGATGCCTGGCTCGAGCTGAAGTAGACCGAGACAGGGTTAAAGTTCCGATAAGTAAAACTCCAGAGACCCCATCAGCCAGGCTTCGCCTTAATTTCTGCCTTTTTGGGTAATCCGGGCTTCTCTAATTTTCACACCTTCTAAGGGAGGCGATTGCTGCTGCTTCGCTGCCCTGAACAAAACGTGTTCCTGGTCTTTTCTTTCAGCAAATCTCCAAAGCCCGAGGCACAGAAGGAGAAGGGGAAGAAGCCCCGAGTGTGGGATCTGGGGAACTCTAATGCCAAAGTACTCGATTACAGTAACTCGGCTACCAACGGGAGCGCGGAGGCTTGTCCCGCGGAGGAATTCGACCCCGATACGGTAAGGAAAAGTCAGGTCACCGTGTCTGCTTTAGCGCGTCGTTCGGGGATCGGCCGGGCGTTGCAAACCCGGCCCGGGCTCCGCGGCTGGCTGGGAAAGCGGCCGAAACGCGGACTCG